TGGCTTGTATCAGGAATAGTGTGGCCAGCAGGAGTAGGGAAGTCATCCTTCCCCTGTACGGTGCTGGTGAGGCCCCACCTCGAATACTGTGTTCAGTTTTGGGTGCCTCACTCCAGGACAGATGTTGCGTTGCTGGAGCGTGTCCAGAGAAGGGCAACCAAGCTGGTGAGGGGTCTGCAACACAAGTCTTAAGAGGAATGGCTGAGGGAACTGGGGTTGTGTAGCCTGGAGAAAAGGAGGCTGAGGGGAGACCTTATTGCCCTCTACAACTACCAGAAAGGAGGTCCGTCTCTTCTCCCAGGTAACAGGCAATAGGACAAGAAGAAACGGCCTCAAGTTATACCAGGGGAGGTTTAGATTGGATGTGAGTAAAAATTTCTTCACCAAAAGGGTTGTTAAGCACTGGAACAGGCTGCTCAGGGAAGTGGTTGAGTCCCCACCCCTGGAGGTATTTAAAAGACAGGTAGACGAGGTGCTTAGGGACATGGTCTAGTGGTGGACTTGGCAGTGTTAGGTTTATGGTTGGACTCAATGATCTTAAAGGTCTTTTCCAACCTAAATGATTCTGTGAAAATCACAAGATGTTCAGGTTACACTGAGGCAGACCCACAGGGACAGGTGGGGCAAAGGGACAAACCCCACTGGGGGAGAGGGGACCCGACTCCCCACTGAAGGAACTACAGGTCAGCCTGCGGCCCACTGCCCTCAGCAAGCGAGTGATCTGATTTTCTGGTCAGGAGTAGAAAACCTTCCTGTACGAGCCTGGCTTATTCACAGAGCAGGGAGGCAGTTTTGTTCCTCTGAAGTACAAGACCCAGACACAAGTTGTATTTGTCCTTGGTTATAAAAGTAAGCAGGAGGCAGGTGAAAAAGAGAGAAATACACTCAAAAGGCCACAGGAAGCTTGTTTTTAAAAGAGCCACAGCTGCCCAAAGAACACAGATGGGACTTCAGGTCACTTAGGTATGTTTAAGGGGCACAATGTCAGTCAGAGGCACAGCCAGCTGCAGGCCGATGAAAAGCTACTACATTTTGACCAATGGTGAAGGCCAAAGACAGAAATGATGTCAAAGCTAGCCAGCTCTCTCCTCCCTAGATCCCTCCAAGTGATTTCAGTCAGAATGCTATTGGCTTAAGCAGAGGGAAGGCAACTTGGGTGAAAGTTAGCAACTAATCACACACAAAGGTGAGCCTCAGCTAGCAATGCTTGTAGTCTGTTGCTTGTTCCCAGGTTTATTCCCTTTTAATCTGACTGGTGTCACCAAGTTCTTACCAGGCTTTCCAGAGCACCCCATAAAATACAAACAATTTTAAAACTAAGGCTAGACATTATTTGTCAGGCAGCTCATATTTCTAATGTATTACCAGAAACCGACCCTTAGGAAGACACTTTTTTTTTTTTTCTTCTGTTCACACCATTCTTTTGAGATGTTTCCCAAGGAAGCAGGCTTGTCACAATCTGCATGTGTAAACACAGCTCAGTCTCTCACCTTTCCCTCCTACCAAAGCTCCTGAGCTGCTAAGTAGGGGGATAGAATCCTTCTAAGGGTTTACCTTTAACGAAATTAAGACAAGCGGGCAGGTGAGGGACTCTTGAGTCCCTAGAGTAAGAAAGCTCAAGCTTTGGCCGCTATTTTAGGTCTTGGCAAATACAAACGTGACCTCACGGTCCACACAGCCATGCTTCCTCACTTCTCCTTGTTTAATTGGAATTCAGGTTCCCTCCTATGGGTTGAAGCAGAAGCACCAACCTGATCTTAAATGGAGGAAATACAACAGCGTTCTTTCATTTAACTCAGGCCTTTGTATCTTGTAGGTTTAAGAATTAATCACAGTTCCTTTATGGATTTGTTTCCAGAAGAAAGAAAACCACCACCAAACTTGAGAGGCCTAAGTAGCAGCAATGAAAATGGCTGTTTTATTGCTTTACTTATGAAGTTTACCTTTAATACTCAAATCTATGGAAATCCAAACCTATAAAGACAACTAGAGAGTTCTACAGCTTGGTTTTCTGACTCTACGTGCAAGTCTAAAGAAAGGAACTCACCAAATTGAACATATTCACCTGAAGTTAGGAAGTTTTATAACTAACATCCTCAGGATCCACTGACTGTGAAAAGCATGGGGAAAAAAAAAAATAAGCCGAGCATGTTAGTTCAGCCTTGCATAGCAAAAACTAAGAATTCAAAACTTCGGTAATTTACCTAAGCATCAATTTTAATGCTACTGCTTGTCTGGGTATAGACTGAGATTTCGCACAAAGTTAAGTCCTTTACGGAAAATATAATTTTAATAATTTAAGTGCTGCATGTCCATACAGTCACCAACCTCCAACAAAACTACGATACCCAAGTCTCATCTTCCTGATGTTTACAACTGGCATATTCTTCCCTAAATATCATACGATTCTCTGACACAGAACTTTATGATCTCTGTTGTCCTTCATGAAAATCATCACGGGGCTACCCAAGAGACTCGGCACACATATGAAAACAAGCAGTGATGAAAATTTGTAAATCAACTTTATTCAACGATGGCCATCATTTAGGCATCGGCAATAGTAACTTCAACTTCTACACCTGGTTCGATGCTGATGGACGTGATCTGCTTGACGATCTCAGAAGGGCTGTGTAAGTCAATGAGCCGCTTATGGATACGCATTTGGAAACGATCCCAGGTCTTGGAACCTTCACCACAAGGCGTCTTCCTGGTAGTGATTCGCAGAGTCTGAAGAAAAATTATAAACACATAGTATTTAGTTGATGCATACAGAAGACAAATCTACAATCAAACCAACCTACCTAGAAATACTCTGTGCTATGTCATTGGAAAGTTACTTCTTAAGTTACATTCTACTCAAGTGAACACTCCTTCCCTATATTCAATGTAATTAAAAAAAAAAAAAATCACAATTAAAATAAACTGAAGGACAAAAACGCCCCTTCCACGTTCAACACATTTTGCACAAAGCAGTTGCCCCAAGTGTTCAAGCAACTTGTGAAGTCAATATCTGTTTACACCAAGTCACCCTCAGTTTGGCAGTACTGCTTTTCATCTCAATGTATTTTTTTTTTTTAAAAGATGTTTTAAGTGCACATTTTCAGAAAAAAAACCCAAACTTTTAAGACAGGAGAACAGTGTGAAGTACCTTGGTGGGCATGCGAACGGGTCCTTTCACCTTTAGGTTTTTTTCCTTAGCGCCCCTGATCAAGTCAGCACAGACTGAAAAAAAGAAAAATACAAAATAGCTCAGGTTTGTGTGTATTTTTTTTGCTTGTTTTCTTAAGTGAAGATTTCAGACAAGGCGTTGGCTCAGAATAGCGTATGAAATGATCATTGCCATTCATTTTAAGGGTTATCCTCATAGCCAACCACATACAAGTGGAAGTGTTACACCATGGCTAGCAAAATCATGTCACAACAGTACACAAAAGCCGTTGCTACCAGTTTAAGCTGTATTTAAGCTGCTATCAGTCTGAAGATCCTGCATCAAACAGCAATTCTGCAACATTTACATTATATGATCAACACACTGGCAAAGCCAGTTCCCAAACGAGATTAAATAATTTCTTAAAGAACGTTAAAACTTCTAAACTAAACTCTTGATAACAAGAGTGACAAAATGACTGATATAAGAAACTGGTGCCTTTCAGTTCTTACACATTCAAATAGTGACCATTAAAACCCCGGGGCGAACTGGAGGGAAGAAGCTGCACTCTCCCAAGTTAGTCATTTACGACATTAAGTTTTCAGAACGATGAAAAACTCCCAACGCTAGCTTCCATTACAAATTAAATTAGACGCTGCTTGCCAGTGTATGAAGCACTTTGGGTCGACTTTGTGAGCCAAGCCACATACAAACAGGCAAACACGAACATGTTTAATTACCACTGGCTTTGATACATTGTATTTTGCAACGTTGTAGCAGACATATCATTCCTGACTTAACAAGCTACCCCAGTTAAAAAAAAAAAAAAGTATCACTCACCCTTCTCAAGTGATTTTACATTGCGACTCGTCAAAGTAATCCTAATGCGATGAATTGCTACCTCTTGTTCCACAGGTGCTTTGCCAGTGTCTTTAAACGCCTAAAATGTTGAAGTTACAAATATCAGACACTAGAGCCAACACCAGCCAGCGCTGTCTGCAGCCTCTTGAAAGAGACCCCTAGAGCATAAAGAACAATTGAGCTGCAGGACTATTTTATTCTACTGACTAAATGGCATATCCAAAGGGTACAGTGGCATGGAAGAAATTAACTCTATCCCAGCGAAAACCAGAACATGTGGGAACAAAAAGGAAGGGCAAATTCCTAAGTGCTCTGGGGAGAAGTGACTTTTTGGTATCTTAACTGCACCTGACAGTGGGAAGCTGCAGGAACATCCCTCCCTGGTTTGCCTACGCACAGCAGGCTGTCCACTCACGGATACTCCTCATCCTCAAAAATAAACACATTTCAGATTTCGCACATCTTACAGCTTAACCTCACCACGAATTCAGTAACACAGATACCAACAAAACAGCAACAACTTAAAACGGTGAGAACGAAAAAGGGGCACCTGGCCAGAAAGGCTAATTCGGCCGCTCAGGAAACGGATGCAAAGAGCTTGTGCAAATAATCGGGCATTACTGTGGACCAAGTGACTTGATTAAAGAAAAGTGAAAATACGGGGGAAGAAAGGCCTTAACACACCGTGGGTGCAAGACGGCGTTTCTCACGCTGATGAGCTACTACCTGTCGCGTCAGGCGGCGCACGCTCCTCCTATCAAAGCCGATTTTAAGGGCAAACACGCGAGGCCTCGTCACCACCGCTCACGCCGGGCTGAGGTCGTCTCTTCCCCGCGGGCAGCGGCGGCCCCGACGCCGCTCCCGAGGGGGAGCTCTGCCCGGAGGAAGCG